AGCCTAAACCTTCAGTTGCTCCGGACCTCAAATAATACTAAACAAACGCTGGCTGGTTCTTTTGGCGGTTTCCTTTACAATTTCTTTAGATGTCCTTTGGTTAAAAAGCTTTAGCTTTATGTATTTCCTTTCAGTTCCTTTTCTGCCCTTATTTGTTCCTTTCCTTTCATGTTCCTTTCATGTTCTTGCCTTTCCTCTCATTGTCCTTTCATTTCCTTTTGTATCCTTTCATGTCCATTCGTTTCCTTTCATGTTCCTTTTATGTCCTTTCCTTTCCTTTCATTTTCCTTTCATGTCCGTTTCTTTCTTTTCATTGGCCTTTTATTTCAACCTCAAAGCAAGATTGTTCTCGGATATGGATTTAACTCTATTTAGGGTCAGATCTTGATCAAGGGGGAGGGGGTGGTTATTATTTAGAGGACTTTCCATGGACCACCTCCAAATCATTGGGTGGTTTTTCCTGCCCAGACTCCTAAAGTGGTGACTGCTGGTCACTGCTGGCCATGGCTCATGCCACACCTTGAGGAGCACTTCATCGACATGGCTCGCAGGTTCCGCCGCCGGAGGTCCTCGCGCTATCGGGAGATCGGGGTGAACATCCTAGTGATTCTCCTGGCGGCACCCGCATTGCTGACCGTGCTGTCGATTTGGATCGGCTTGAGATTTGCGGTCAGTGACCAGAATCTTGGCGGTGCATAGTTTAAATGTTTTTTTGAAGTTGGCAGTATAAAGGTGCTGGTAGTGAAATGGATGTTGACAAAAATGATGTTGAAGAGAAAACGATTCCAAATAGAGTTGGAAGTTGGAGTTTCAGACCGATTAAATCCTAAAGTTGCTAAGAACTCCTAATCGTCGGAATCGCCGCCCCCTGAGGGCCAAAGGTTGCTTTTTCTCCGCAGGTCCGAAGCCTTTGTACTAGACCACCAGAAGGCATCATCCGGCGGCCAAGTTTCTGATTTTCACATGAAGTTTGTCCCAAAGAGGTGTGACAAAGGGAGCTGATCAAAAGAACGTCTGGGTGTTTGTGTGCTTGCTTGTTAAAGATGTTTCAAAGACTCCAGGACCCCCATGGTTCAATGGTTGAAGTCCTTGATTTGCCGCTGAGCAAGTGAGGATGGATTTTCAGGCGACAATCCGAAGTTGCATTTTTGCTGGCTGTATGCTGCTCTTGGCCATCAGCTACTTTAGCCTCAGACGCTTTTTGGCCTCGTGCACTGCTGAAAGCACTGCCCAGCCTTCGCCAAAGCCTGAGATTTGAGGTCTCAAACATGAGCTGACTCCGGAGCCGGCTGGTGAGAGCCGAAAAAAAACATCCAAAAAAACAACACCCAAAAACATTGGACAGTAGTTAGGCGTTGAGAAGGAAATCTGCAGCTCTCCCTCACAATCTGAATCATAACTTCTCCTTGGGGCCCTTTGAATCATCTGATCACACAATTGTATCGGTTATATATGTATAGATGGATCTTCCTCGTTCCACCGCATTCCACAACATCACTGATCACACCCTTGCTGATCATGTGATTACTCATGGGTCTAGCTTGACTGGAGGCTTCAGAAGAGTGTCGAAAGGTAGATAATGGTAGGTGGGACTCACATTCTAATCTTGTTCATGCTCCTTTCTTCCAGCATTCCACGAACACATCAGACAACCCACAAACCACTATACATTGTTTTTGTCATTTTTTGATACCTATTCGATATTGATATCCCTTACAGTCACCAAGCATCAGAAACACCTCGGTCCATGAAAGGTTCTGGCCCGTGGGACACGGCGATACATGGCCTTTCTTTGGGTGTTTTCCTGTGGCCGGCTATTGGTAGCACTTCGTGAGGAAGGGCTTGGTCCTGGCCTTCGAAGAGGAGAATCTCCCCAAGCGTCCCAAGGAGACCAAATATCCCGACTGGTTGACTCTCGCAGGCACGACGTCTCGTCGTTGTCTCCCGGGGAGATCTTGCGACCGGTCGGCTGTTCCGGCAGCGTGACGTGTTGGTTTCACAGGGTAGGTTGAAGAGTGGAGGGAGGGTTTGATAGGTATTGGGAAGTAGGTTCCCAGGTTGGTATACCCCCAGGTCGGCCCCAGGTCGCCGCCCAAGAGGAGCTGCTGGCAAAGTGAGTAAAGCTAGAACTTAAGACATGTGCAACTGCGTATGACTCATCGAAGCAGTTTATAACCATGTCCACCGTTTTTTTCTTATTCCAATCCATCAAAGGCCGATATATATATATATATCGCTTTGCGTGCGGCGGTTGGCAGGTGAATTGCCCCGCACCGTCTTCCTCTCGGAGTCCACCATTGTCACTTGGGGGCAATTGGACGGCCCCTTTTGATGGCGGCAGATGGGGACGGCAAGATGTCATGAAGCAATGATGACTGGAGATCATGGGAGATGAGGCAGGTGAATGCAATTGATGACTCATTGGAGAACTTGGGTGGAGATTGATTGTAGTTGGTCATTATAGTTTGGAGGGAACGGGGAAGGATGGGGATTGGAGATCAGAAAATTTGTGGCATGATGGGATGAAGCCGTGGAGATGCTTAGATGGTTTGGGTCGACAACCAACCGACGTAGTTGATTCCCAAAAGGCACGTCGTGGAGACTTCTCGACGTTCTGGGGGTTCTCCTGGACGCGGCCCTCTTCAAAGCTCATGAATGGGTTGGTTTTGGAAGACGCAAATGAATAGACTCTGGAAGCAGTACTTGAGCTGAATCGAGTCCAAATAAAACCAAACGGTTCTTCAAGGAGAAAACAAAAATCCAAGCGCATGCGGATGCATTCCACCGGAAGTCACCTGATTTCAACTAGGCTACTGGAACTTTTCCGTGTTGGCAATCGCGCAACCGAGGTCCATGCCGGTCTGGAGCTCGACAAACACTTGGACGATTGGTTGATGATTCACCCGGGAGGAGCTTTGGACCTTGGTGGAACAGAAGACTGAGCCATCCGTAGAGTGACTGTTCTGATGGGCTGAGGTTTGGATGGACAAGTAGTAGGATGGTAGGACCAAGTTTGCCAGAATATTCTGTGGTGCTCACAGTGTTTTGCATTTGTTCTTGACTTCAAACCTTGCTCAGTTAGTCCCCCAGTCGGCAAAACGTTTATTCCATTGGGAAGTAGAACACAGGAGTCTCTACTCCCATGAACATGAGAAGTTCTGGAATCGGTTAAATTAGACTTGTGTCTTTTTCCACGCGGCCAATGTGGGGAGGGGGGCCTGACAAGACAGATGAACAAGAAGCTCAACTGCATTCCCATGTATGTTTAACAGTGCATGTTGCAGGGATCGGAGTGGAAAACCTCAAATGGCAAAGCTCCGATGGCATGGAGACTTCAAAACCACTTGGGTGACTCGATGTCTTGAGATGTTGCACTGTTTTTGCATTCACTATGAGACTTGGAGGGGTTTGAGATCATCAAAAACACCTTACTATCCAACTAGTGGATTCGCCAATTTCAAGTGATCACAGCGCAAAGCTGTGTATCATTTTTGTTCATTACTTTGGTCGATTGAGTTGGGTTGTTGTTTTCTTATGTGTTCTTTTCTGTTTGTTTTGAACAACTCCCACACCTTCGTCACGAAAACCAACGGCTCCACACCTTGGTTGCACGCGTCGAAGACGCACGGAAGCTCCGTGTCGACGCGCTCCCATTTTTACCGAGCGCGGCGAAAATAGACGCAGCAGGATCGATTCGGTTTCTGCCGTGCGAGATCGTTTGAAAAGCAGTGCGGGAAGGAGTGCGGTTCCAGCGTGGAGAATGTGCCGGATGAAATGAGGGTCTCCGGGAAAGTAAGCCGAGAGACTAACATCAGGAAATCTTGAATTAGGGCATCATTTCGCGGAGGATCCTTTCTTTGACCTGTTACCGTAGATGGCATACAGGTTCTGCCTTTGCAGACGTTTCAACTAGAAGAAATAGGATGAAGCGAGTTGGGAACCCACAATGAAAAGACGTGCCAAGACCAGTCGTGGATGCAAGGTAAACGAATGGATTCGATTTGCACTGGGTTTGCCACTGGGTGACCTGTTTCCTTTGGCCCTTCGCAGTTCAGTTGCATCATCCGACGATCGAACGACATCCCCAAGGCTTAACGTTCCGACGGCTGCTGGAGAGCTCCTGGCAGGGCGATGGTGGCGATGTTTCTGTGTGATGCCGCCTGGAGGGACTTATGAGCCACCGATCCGCCTGGTGGGACGAAGCCACATGAGCGAAACGGAGTCGCTTCTTGAGCTAGAGAGCTTCTTGCTACTTCCCACTTCTTGAGCTGGCTGATAGAGATCTGTAGCAGAAGAGAAGTGGAAACTGGTCTTTTCAGCAAAAGACGAAGACGAAGAGTTCTTGTTGAGCGTAGGACCAACACAGTGACCAACACAAATCCAACTCGGATCCCCGAACCCGGTGCACCGAAACCCGCCGGACGCGCTTTTCGCGTCCGAGCCGATGGAGGTTCCAAGCTCAGTGCTCAGCCCCACGGTGGGGACCAGCGCAGTTCCGCACCGTGGTTTTTTCTTCCGCATCTCATGCGGTTTTTTTTTTTCGCCAAAAGAACGACACTCTCCAAAATCCAATGCTGACCCCCTCCACACTGACAGGCCAAGTCCTCAATGCCAATGAACATTAACCTGTTCAAGAATTCCGAAAAGCAAGAAACTCTTGCAGAGAAACATGGTGGCACCACCTGTGTTCTGAGAAAGGCCTCATCTACGATCACGGATGGCCTGTTCCGTTCCAGCCACAGATGTCTCCGATAATTCGCACTGTCGCTGAGTTGGGCTGTCCACGTGGACGACTCCTCTCAGTCCACTCTCAGTCGTCGTGTCTCCTGTGTTCTCGTATTCCATGAACGGATGCCGTGTGACTGAGTGGCATTTGGCACATAGGGCGCCACGAGTTCGGTGATAGGGCGCCACGAGTGGACTGTGTCGCAGCCGGTGAAACGCCACCGGTGGTCCCGCGCCCCGTTTCACCCGGCTCTTGGACCTGCAGCAGCTTCGGCATGGCGTGGATTCCTGTGCCTAATGTGGTGGGACTCCTGAGCTGGATGGTGGAGATGTGTAGCAGCAAGATGTGGAAACTTGTCTTTGCGGCAAAAGATTCATAAATAGCAATTGCTGAACACAGGTAGAACCAACACATATCCAACATATCCATAGCTTTTAAATGCTTTTAAAGCCCTTTGGACTTGACTCATGTCAATGTCTTTTGCCTGCATCAGTTCCCCTGCCCAGGAAGCATTGCACTTCCGACCTCAAGTGCCGAACCGAAAGCTTGCCCTCACTCCTCGTGCAGCCTCCACAGCGATTCCTCCCTGAACTGGCTGGCGTTGAGGAGGAGGAGTCCGAAGCAAGGCTTCACTATTGGGGTGCCATTCTCCTGTTGCCCAGCGGCACGAGAGGGCATTTTAAAGGCTGTTTGGTACACCTCTGTTCTTGTGTTTCTAGTCTGAAGTTGCCCGATGTGAGTGACATGACATGGGGAACAACACTTTTGTTGCTGATGTCATGCTGTCAATTTAACACAGAACCCACAGTTGTATTCAGATCCTTAGTTCCTTTTGTCCAAGCAAGGTTGTCACCACCCATGATGGCTGTCATATGCGAATCCATGCGGCTTTGCTTCTATTGTGCCAAGCATTTGCATGGAAAACTTGCTAAAGGATCCACATCGAGTACCGGCTACAGACAGCTTGAGCTGAAGGAAGACGAGAGAAATGACTTGGAAAGTCCCATGATTGCAACGGAACCCAACCATCCTTTCAAGGGACCCCACACGATGTTCATTATTCCACTCATGGTCTACCACCTTACATGCGCGGGCGTTGTGACCTTGGCCATCTTCAAAGGTTGGCTTTTGAGCGATGGAGGTGGTTTAGCCTGGGAACTTTGGGTTGTGTGGCAACAGCTATGCCTTTGGAACCTGTTTCTGCAGAACTTGGTTCGATGCACGACGCTGGATGCTTGGATCGGCGATCAATCTTCGAAACGGCACAAACCATAGCTCTTTTTTCGATCATGTTCGATCTTTTCATAAAGGAATGCCTTTACAACGTTTTGTTCCAAAGACAGCGTCTTGTGTGAGTTGTGGCAAGGTGGTAACCGACATAATTAATCCCGTCCTCCTAATAATAAACACGGGCCCCCCCCCCCCCCAATTAAAAAAACATCGGTCGCATTTTTTCTAATAGGGGGTCCCTGAAATCGGGGGGGCCCAAAATAGGGTCACCTGGAAAGAGTTTCAAAACCAAAAAGTAATCCAGGAAAATTTTATATAAAATCCTTTATTAAACTCGTATCAAAAATGCAAAAAAAACCGCCAGATCGAAGGGTCTTCCTTTTCCCCTACAAAAACCTTCATTAGAATAGTGATTCTTCAGTAGACTAACAGCTAAAGCTTTCGAAAGGTGATGTCGCTGTGCCATGCGGTGTTGCATGACCTCGGTGGCAAGTGCCTTTGCGTGAGTCCGTGCCATTGAGGGAAGGAAAGCCTGCTGGTGTAAGTGCGGCGTGTCATGGTGGAGTTTTGGGGAACCCAATTTAAAAAAAAACTACCCCCAAAATCGACCATGTTGGTAGTTTAGTAGCGGCTTGAAAGGGCGGCAATTTAAAACCAAATATAAACCGAATTTAGGGGTTCGGACGTGGTGTTTTTTTAATTGGGGAGTGTTCATTAATAGGTACTCGGGATTATTGTGTGGTGGCAAGGGGAGAAACAAAAGAAGACAACGGCTGTTGGCGTTAAACGGCGTGTCTCCCCGTCCATGTTTTTAAAGCACTTGTTTGCAACCCTGGAAACGGGTGGACACGACAGACTGTTTTTTGTTTTTTACGGCATCCTTTCACTGGCTCGAAAATGCATCCGGCAGAAGTTAGGCCGATTGAAAAGCAGGTATCTTTGGATTGTTCAAATTTTAGGGTTTCTATTGTATACTGTATTTTATATATAAGATATATATAAATCTGGGGTATTGTTCATCTCTCCATCTAAGGATAGCCATGCCTTGAAAGCATCGACTTGCACAACCGTGCTTGCATACACAGCGCCATTTGCGAGCGAGATGGCAGACACCATGAAGGATTGGGTGGTGACGGGACTTTGCATTCTCCATGCGAAGACATGGATCGGTTTCCTCATAGGAGCAGCGATTGCTGGTGTTGAAGTCAGTGCAATTGCGATGGGATGGATCACCCTGCGCAAGTTCTCTTACTCATTTGTTTTTCTTCTAGTAACGTGGTAATGAACAAACAAGGTGTGATTATTTTTATGATTCTCCTTGTCACGCAGCTAAAGCAGTTTGAGGAGTAAACCAATATCAAAGGTGTTTACTGGTTCCATTTGGTTCAGATTTGCGCACTATTCTCCTTGTTGCGTTCGGTTCCAGATCCAATCCTGTTTGATCAGAAAGGCTTTAGTAGTGAACCGACAGAACAACAACGACGACACCAGGGCTCGTAGAACCAAAATGGAATCCTAGACTCAAATGACTCAAAAAAGCAACCTAATAATATATAGCTTGAAAGGCATCGATAAGACTTCTGACCTGACTTATGAAGCGTCTGAGGCTGAGGCACAGAAGTGGTCGAGACGGCACAGAGTTGTAGAGGTTCTCAAGCACCAAAAACAGAAAGGGAGGACTGATGATGAAAAAACAACAAAAAACTATTCTTTGATGGTTGAGAACCATACCATAAGTCCTAACCATAAGTTCTTATATAGTTCTCAACCCGGCAGAGAACTATATTTAGATGATTTGGACATCACTGTTCACTGTGGTTCTTCTATCCCAATTTCGCGATCAAGATTCCACATTGGTGACTTACTTGGCACAATTGGCACTCTTTTGCCTGTTTTGCCTTCTTTTTATATGTTTCCTACTTGGGTGCCCGAAATCAGGCACTCTACATTGCACTCTTTGTGGTACGTTTCCACCTTTGGGTCTTGATTTTTGGATCGATTGGCGGAGCTTCGTTGCTCTTTCTCATGGACCTATTCAACCGGTCACGGTGGTGGGGCATAGTGACGGGCTGCGATTGGCGTCAGCTGCTCCCATACATTGTGGCAATTAGCTTCGGCCTCCCAATTTGCTACATGCTTATCACTGACCGTTTGCGTCAGATTGACTCTGTATTAGTGAATTTTTCAGAAGAAACCTTTTGGTGGTTGGCTGACGGAGGTCTACTGGCAATCGTTTCGATCTACGTCATTCTACATGCCCACATTCTCGTAATCCGATCTGAAGACTGTGCGCAGGACCTCCGAAAGACCTACAGAGCCATTTTGGAGCTCCCATTGAAACCCACAAATCCAGGTGGAGAAGCTTGCTGCGCGTGGATTGGAAGACGATTCACCAATCTTTGTGTCGATTTCCTAAGCAGTGCTCGACTGCTGATAGCATGGTCGGAAGACATACCACAAGGAGTCATTGGTGTGGCACTGGTGCTGAGGTATGCAGGGCCCAACGGCATTGGATTTGCAGGCATCTCCGCAATAATCAGCACTTCCAAAGGAGTTCTGATTCCCATTCTGCAGCGTCTGGTCCTGGAGTACCGCAAATCACAGGTTGCCAGAGGCTTGGATGACATCCTGGGCACTCAGCAGAAGGCATTTTTGGAGAAGTTTCTGGCAACCTCTCCGGTGAGCCATGAGAGAATACGGCTTCAGGTTGAAGAGCCGTTGCGGACCATGTCCAGCGACTTATTGAAGCGGCTGAATGTCGACCTTGTCGCTGAAATGCAAAAGATGAGGCACAAGTGGCTGGCAGATGGTGGTGAGATGATCAGATGCGAAGTTGTGGCCAGCTATTTGAATCAAGGTGTCTCCACAACAAATCTTTTTGATTTGGGACATATGACGGGACATTGCAAAAATGCTGGCTTCTCAGCAGGGCAATGCAAGGAGGTGGCTGGTTTCTCCGCGCAAAAATGCAAAGAGGCAGGCTTCTCCCCAAGTGATTGCAAAGAGGCGGGCTTCTCCTACAGCGAATGCAAGGATGCAGACTTCTCAATCCAAGAGTGCATTGAGGCTGGGTTCACCCCTATGCAGTGCAAGGAGGCAGGCTTTGTGGCCAAGCAATGTAAGGAGGCAGGTTTTTCGGCCAGAGACTTCAAGGATGCTGGTTTTTCAGCCGTTCAGTGCAAGATTGTCGGCTTTGAGGAAACGCTTTGCCAAGAGGCCGGCTACACTGCAGAGGAGTGGAATCGGGAACCTACTGCCCGAGATTTCAAAGATGCAGGTTTCTCTGCCAAGGAGTGCAACAAAGAGTACTTCACGGCCAAGGAATGCAAGGAGGCTGGCTTTTCGATGTATGCGATTGGAGAGGAATTTCGAGCGGAACAGCTTAGAAAAGCTGGTTTCTTTGCCAAGGACTTCAAAGACGCTGGTGCCAATGGCTATTGGTTAAAGAAACGAGGCTTCTCGGCCAAGGAGTGCAAAGAGGCTGGCTTATCGGCGATGGAGTGCTGGGAAGCGGGGTTTAATCCACTCGACTTCAAGGATGCAGGCTTTTCGGCGATGCAGTGCAAGATTGTCGGCTTTGAGGTTGCATGGTGCAAAGAGGCCGACTACTCTGTGGAGGAGTTGGCTTGTGAACCAACTGCACAAGATTACAAAGACGCAGGCATGTCTGCCAAAGAGTGCAGGGAAGCGGGTTTCTCGCCAGAACAATGCAAGGAGGTCGGGTACTCGGCCAAGGAGTGCAAGGAAGCGGGTTGTTCAGCGAAAGAGTGCAAAGATGCGGGCTTCTCAGCCGTTCAGTGCAGGATTGTCGGCTTTGAGGTCAGGATGTGCCAAGAGGCAGGCTACTCTACGGAGGAGTTGACTCGTGAACCCACAGCACAAGATTACAAAACTGAAGGCTGCTTTTCCGAATGCAGGGAGATAGGAGGCTTCTCTGCCAAGCAAGCTAAGGATGCGGGCTTTTCTCTCAAAGAGATCGAATTGGCTGGTTATTCTTTCAAGGAGGCAGGCAATGCTGGCTTCTCCGCTATCCAATTGACGTATTTTGGCATGATGACATCTCAGTATGGAAAAAATGGCTTGGCCAGAGACAGACATAGCAGGAACAAATCAAGTTGCCTCACAATGTGATAGCTAGTGGGAGAGCGAAGGTTAAAACCAGGATGGGCTTGTAGCAGCATCGAAATGCAACACAATAGCTGTTGGGAGGCAGAACGTGTTGGACAATTTGCCAACATGTTCCAACGAGCGTTGTGACCACGGATGCCGTAAAGATCGGGTGCGAACGAGAAATCGTTCTGTTCCGGTTCTTGAGTGAACAGGCATTCTTGGCCAAAGAACAGGAGGCAGACAGCCTCTTGGCTAGGAGCGCCAAAAACTGCCGCTTCTCAGCCGTCGAGTTACCAAGAAGCCCCAAAATGCTGAAAAATGAGCAACTGTCAGTGCTTTTGTTGGACCATGTTCCTTTGTTGTCGATGTTATTGTCAATATTTAGTGACGGTATAATGAGCTAAGACTTGGTTGAACAGCAAACTCCAAGCATGTCATGCGGTTGTTCAAGAAGCTGCTCATCCGGACTGCGTCCTTTGCTCGAGCAAAATCGTCGGAACTGCCCCGGGACTCGCTGGGTCACCTGTTCCAGTCCAACCGAGGGCGCGCTGGGAAGAAACAGACGCCGGTCTTTCGCCACCGCCCGTCAGGTCGCACGGTGGCGTCGGTCTGACAGGCTTGGTGAGAGTTTTGGGAAGGACGTGGTGAACAAACCATCACATGTATAGCTTGGCTTTGTCCGAACTTATCTGTAAGAGTCAGCAAACAATTATTATAGCACTATTTTAAAGAAAGCCATTACTAACCATCATCATCCACTGTTACTGGTAATAGGATGGACTCAACGTATAGGGATTTCTTGATTATTGGTCTTTTTCGTTTTTGAACACGAGAGTGAAAGTGGTATAGGAAAGAACATAAACAGACTGAGTATCGACAGACTATCTTGCAACTTGCAACATCCAGCGCGTGAATCACAGATTTACAGCTAACAGTAGTTTTGTCGGTTGGACCGGGTTCTGGTTGGCGACGCGGAACTCGGTTGATTCTTTCCTTCCAACCTTCCCAACGACTTTGGTACATGCTTTGAGTTTAGGCAACCGATCCCTTTTTTTGCTTGCTTGTCTTGAAAAAACAACAGGGAGACTACCAAGCAACAGTTGAAACTGAACGAATTCGGAGTTTGACACGAAAAGTGCATCTTTTTGACTTGTAATTACATGCATAATCGCATAATCCTTGTGAGTGTGCGTGTGGGTCAAACCTTGGCGAAATGCTCTCAGTTTGACTCCGGCACCACAAGATATTGCGAGATATCCCACGAGACATCAGATCCTGGGTAAGCTGTTTTTAGTTTCCCTTAGATCAATTTGATATTCAACAATCAATGCAGTATGTATTCAACACTTCTTAGTAACAATAGAGCTTTCTATTAACTAGAAGCTTCCTTGCGAATCGTTTCACCTGTAGTAACAAAGTAGCTTTTTAGTATGTCTTTGAAGCTTCTTAGTAGCAACGAAGCTTTCTAAAGTAACAAACACCTCACGTTCATTTCTCAACCGAAGCAGCTTGGGACGAACTTGGGACCAAAACACTCTGAACCCATGAGCATCCCGACAGGTCACCAGTGGTTACAAGGACCAGTCTTGAGTCTTGATCCCCTTGAGCTTTCACGTGTCCAGGCAGAGCGGCGACGCCAGTGGCGATGCCATGTGCCGCTCATCTTGATGGAGCAAGGGAGCAAGGAAGGGAGCAAGGGATGTTTGCCGCTTTTGCTCCAGCTCTTCTTGGAGAATCATTAGACAAGCATCTCATGATGTTCAGTGGGTTGATACGAGACCATTCCAGACCCTTGTATAGATACTTATCTCTTTTTTGCGGTGATTCCTTTGTCACCCCGGATCGCATCCGCCACGAGATCCGTCTTTTCTTCCACGTCGTCACGTCGTCACGTAGCGCCTGCCCTGGCGGAACGATGGTTCGCCGCCCCATTGACCCCGACTGAAGACCACCCGCGATTCCACCGTGAATATGCCAGTCCCAGGAACTTCGTGTCTGGGATCTGATTCGTTGTTATTTAGCTTCTACATGCTGAAGACCCACATTTGGTGGTCAAAGCATCAAAGCTTCATCAAACAGGCCTTTTGCCGATTCTCTATTGGGTGAGTTCAATGCTCCAATTCGATCGACGACTTGAGTGTTCCTGATGTTTGTTGGTCAAGGTGTTGCGCAGTCCTTCCTCAGTCCTTGATATGAACAAACAGGTCTACGGCTGTGGCTTCACCAAAACGTTCTTTTCCCATCTTTTCCCCAATTACTGGTAGTTTACGGTTGGGGTTCTCTCTTAGGAAAACATACACTGGCCGATCCATCTCTGGCTGCGCCCCCGCAGTCTCCGTGTGCAGGTGTTGTTTTCCTGGTGTCCTCCTGCTGTCCTCTGGCCACGGTTGCCCGGGTTTTGTTTCAGTCCTCTTCTTGTCCTCGAGTTGTCGTGCTGTCGTCCTCCAACTGTCCTCTGGCCGTGTCCTCTTTGTCCTCTCGGTGTCCTCCTGTCCTTCGGCCGCGTTGGTGAGCCATGTGTCCTCCTGTCCTCCTAGTGTCCTGCTGCTGTCCGTGTGTTTTTATGAATGCAAGAGTGATACAGCGTTTCGAGCTTGATATCATCCGATGACTTTCTCGTGACATCATTTATCTCGTGTTTACCCAGGAATGAGGAACTAATTTTATTGTGTTTAATTGGTTTCACACATTTTTGTGTTTACATGCCGCTCCCAAGCAGCAGGAGGCTATAAAAATATAGTTACCAACGTTACGTTGGAATTCACGGAGTTGACGCCAAAAAGAAGCTGAAAGTGTTTGGGGTCTATAGTCTAGACATAATTCCAATTCAGACATCCTATGATGTCGTGTGAGTGGTTTAGTAGATTGTCACGAGATTTGTCCAAAACCCTGGAGATTTGCGCCAAAGAGAGGTGCCAAAGAAGGGTCGGATTGCGGCCAAAGGCGTCGCCGGAAGCAGCGGCCTCGTTTCACCCCGGATTTTTTCGACCTCCAGCGATCATGGCGTGGATTCCTGTACTAAATGTGGTGGGATTCCTGATCTGGATGGTGGAGATGTGTAACGTCAAGATGTGGAAGCTTGCATTTTTGACCAACAGACGAGTTTTTTTGAATGAACGTAGGGCGGTAGGACCACAATGGTGGCCAGAATATATCCGACATGTTCATAGTTTGTAAAGCCTTTTGGACATGACGTTTTCTCCTGCCTGCGTCGGTTCTTTTGTCGTTCAGGAGGGAGTGCACTTCCGACATCAAGTGCCGAACCGAAAGCTTGCCTTCACTCCTCGTGCAGCCTCCACAGCGATTCCTCCCTGAACTGGCTGGCGTTGAGGAGGAGGAGTCCGAAGCAAGGCTTCACTATTGGGGTGCCATTCTCCTGTTGCCCAGCGGCACGAGAGGGCATTTTAAAGGCTGTTTGGTACACCTCTGTTCTTGTGTTTCTAGTCTGAAGTTGCCCGATGTGAGTGACATGACATGAGGAACAACACTTTTGTTGCTGATGTCATGCTGTCAATTTAAAACAGAACCCACAGTTGTATTCAGATCCTTAGTTCCTTTTGTCCAAGCAAGGTTGTCACCACCCATGATGGCTGTCATGTGCGAATCCATGCGGCTTTGCTTCTATTGTGCCAAGCATTTCCATGAAAGAAACGCCTACGGACAGCTTGTCCGAAATGATGATGAAGCAAGTGACTTGGAAAGTCCTATGGTACCAATAAGAACCGACCATCCATTCAAGGGACCCAACACTTGTTTCATAGTTCCCCTCCTTTGCTACCACCTCACATGTGCCGGCATCGTGACCTTGGCCATCTTCAGTGGTTGGCTTTCCAGCGAAGGAGGTGGTTTGGCCTGGGAGCTTTGGGTTTTGTGGCAACAGCTGTGCCTCTGGAACCTGTTTCTGCAGAACTTGGTTCGATGCCTGCGGGTCGCTGCTTGGCGTGGCATGGCAGACTTTGGATGGTGATGGGTTTCAACATGTTTCAACAATATAGGCCAGTTTAAAAGCTGCAGGTATTTGTTGGATTGTCCATTGCAGGGTGATTTTTCTATTGAATACATAAGTTAAGAAATACATAATTCCTGTTTTGTTTTGTTTTTTTTTCCATCTCTTCATATAAGGATAGCCATGCCTTGGAGGCATCGACTTGCACAACCGTGCTGGCGTACACAGCGCCATTTGCGAGCGAGATGGCAGACACGATGAAGGATTGGGTGGTGACGGGAATTTGCATCCTTCATGCAGAGACGTGGATCGGCTTCCTCATCGGAGCAGCGATTGTTGGGATTGAAGCTGCAATCAGGATGGGATGGATCGGGAAGCCTCCTCGTGTCTCTTACTCCTTTATTTTTCTTCTAGTGACGTGGTAGTGCGCAAGCAAGGCTTATTTGTTTGATGGTTTGTTTGATGTATTAAGTTTAACTGATTAGTAAAGCTATTCAGGGTGTCCAGGGTGTCCCTTGCTGAATATCTTTTCAGATTCAATCCTTTTTGATCGCAATAGCGGCAATCTAAACTGAACCCAAAAAGGAACGTCAAAGGGGAACGAGTTCTAGGCAGGGTTGAAGAATAGAACCCCCGCCTCTCACATGAGAACTAGCTTGGTGGACGAGTGAACTCGCTTTGTCTGTACATGACCCGTGACGCGCGAACTCGTGAAAGGTGGCATGATTGGACGATTGATATGATTGGATTGAAGGGAGTCGATCAGAAGGGTTTTGGTTTGTCAAGCGAGTGAGAAACAGTGTCCTCAGTGATGCTGAGTTGTAGGGGTTTCTGGGGCGCCAAAGCAGAAACTGAGGACGTAGGAAAATCTATTGTTGAGATACCTGGTCTGTCAACGATCCCCACAGACTGGAATGACTTTAACATTACTTTAGTTCATTTCCATTTGGCGATCCAGATTCCATATTTGTGGCACAAAACTTGGCGTTTTGCCTCTTTTGGCTGCTGTTCTTTTTTCGGAACGGTGCCTTTTCAATCAGGCACTCTACGCTGCACTATTTGTGGTACGTTTCCACCTTTGGGTTCTGATTCTGGGATTTATTTGTGGAGTATTGTTGATCGAACTGACCAACGGACAGTTGTTGGACTTGGTACTGGACTGCAAATGGCGCAGCCTATTGCCATACATCAGATCAATTTGCTGCATTGCTGTGATTTGCTACATTCTTATGACTGACCACTTCCATCAGATTGACTCTCTATGTGTGAGCTTTTCAGAAGAAGCCTTCTTGTGGTTTGCTGATGGG